GACTTTGCAACTATAGCTGCTCCACTACATGATTTAACAAAAAAAGGCCAGAAGTTCAAATAGACAGTTTTTGCCAGCATCCTTTTAAGACATTGAAGAAAAATTGGCCTCAGCTCCACTTTTAAAGCTTCCAAATCCACCACTGCAGTACATACTCGATTGTGATGCTAGTAATGTCGGAATTGGAGGAGTGTTGTCTCAGAAAGTGGATGAAAACGAACGTGTGGTGGCCTACTTCAGTAGGGTCCTGAGTAGACCAGAGATGAACTACTGTGTAACATGGAAGGAACTCCTTGCTATAGTAAAGAATCTGACATATTTCCATCCTTACCTCTATGGGGCTAAGTTTACCATCAGGACAGACCATGCTGCATTACGCTGGTTAAGATCATTAAGGAACCCAGAGGGACAACTGGCACATTGGATTGGAAAGATAGACCAGTATAATTATGATATTGAATACAAAGAAGGAAAATCTCATTGAAATGCTGATGGACTGAGCCAAAAACTCTGCAAAAATGACTGCATACATTGCTGCAAAAGAGAGGTTGAACTAACCAGGTGTCATCAAGCTGAATTCAGAGTGACTGAAGGAGTTGATGATGGTGAAGTGGAACCAGGTATAAATATTAAAGCAGAGCAGGAGAAAGACCAAGATTTGAAGCCAATAATTGATTTTCTACAAGCAAGTGTTTTGCACCCTGCTTGGGAGAAGGTGTTTGGCTTAAGCCCTGTGACAAAGAACTATTGGGCACAATGGGACCAGTTGAAGCTTGAACATGGTATTCTTTTCTGGAGGTGGGAAACTGCAGATGGGAAAGTGACGACCTGGCAAACAGTTATATCGAGAAAGTTATGGGAAGTTGTGCTGCGTCAATCCCATGATAGTTTAATAGGAGGACATCTCGGAGTTAAGAAGACATTAAGTCACCTACGACAGAGATTTTACTGGATAGGTATGAGGCAAGATGTGGAGAATGGTGCAGGACATGCAGTACATGTTGTGCTAAAAGGGGGACCCAAGCATAAGGGACGTGCTTCAATGAAGTTATATCAAGTTGGTGCACCAATGAAAAGAGTAGCTGTTGACATTGCTGGTCCTCTGCCCCAAACTCGTGCTGGAAACAAGTACATTTGTGTGGTGATGTATTATTTCACCAAATCAGGAAGCCACAACTGTAGCATTGGCTGTTAATGATTTCTTCTTCAGATTTGGTATGCCATACGAACTGTATTCAGATCAAGGCC